ATTTCCATTTATCCACCTCTTCCATTCTTTTCTCTTTCCTGCCATTATTTTCAATTCCTCGAGTGATTTTTGTTTATCAAATTATTGTGAATTATATTTATAATAACACAATTATAACAATTATTTACATTGATATTGTCAGGAATATTAACGGAAGTGGCAGTATTGAAATTAGTGTTAGACGTGTCAGTACTTTTACTATTTTTTGAGATATTAACTTGGTTGGGGCCATTTTCAATATGTGAAGCTATGTGAATTTTATTTTTTAAAGAATTTTCTATGTATCCATATGCTATATTAGTTGATTTCCATTCTCCGTGTCTTTTCAAGCTAGTTATAATACCACCACTATCAGCCAGTAAAGTGACTGAAGATCCTTCGTAGACAGTGCCCGGTGTATGCTTTGGGATGCTGTACTTTAAGAAATTCAGCAATAGTGCAGGCGATTTTTACAAAAGTGTGAATACTAACAGGTTGTATAGTATACCTTCCGTTTTTGCAATATACAAATAATCTACGATGCGGTGTGTTTGCTTGACGTAATGACTAGATTTCGGCAAATATGCATATTGCATATTTTGCATATTGTGCATATTATATGCAAATATTTCATATTTTGGCATATTTGTATAAAAGTTTGCATAAAGTGCATAAAAGTTCAGATTTTTATACTGTATTTGAAAATTTTTAAACATACCAATTTATTTCAATTCTTGTATAAAATTTTGTAGTCATTTTAATCAAGAAATGATCTAAGTACGTAATCTCTACAGGTACAAAACATTTACAATTTCAAAGAAGATCAATTTAAGTAGCCCTCAACATTCTTAGAAAGTCTCGGTCACTGAGGCATTCAGTTATTGGATAATCGCTAAGGGTTCGCTCATTTGCGTTTTATGATCTAATCCCCAAGTCTATCTACAATTTATTGTATCTTAACAGCAGGTAAACGGCTAATAGTTTTGTTCCTAATTTAGGGATTTTCCAAAATCTCCCAGTTTATTGAATTATGTACCTAAACATTTCTAATTTGATGCTCAGATTTGTAAATCATTTTTGTTTTGATATTCAAAGCGTAAACACTCGTTGTGCATAACAAAAAGGACGATTGTGATTTTATAATGCCTAAAACAACCAGTGCTTCAACTTGGATTAAACCTTATAAAGAGCTGTCTATGGATATTTTCTGATAAAAATCTACTGCTCAGTCTGTGGCAAAATTGTAAGTATCTAATATTTTCTATTAAATATCTAATATTTCATACATACAGGGTGTTTCCAAATGACACTTACAACGTTTGACTGTAGATACTTCTCGAAAAATTGAACAAAACGATATAGTTAATGAGGGGTCAAACTTATTTATTTTTCGAGATACAGGGTGTTAAAATTTAAAAAAATTTAATTCTTTTAGTTAATAACAACAATAACTTTAAAACCAATAAACGTATTTACTTGAAATTTAGTACTCGTAGGTTGTTTTTAAATGAAAAAATAGCTTCCTTTAGTGAGAAAAACTTGTCCATAGTACAATACAATGGTGTGTATTCAGAAAAATTTTTCACCTTTACTTTTTTTTATGAAGTCAGCTATTCTAAAACACAATTATTTTTATTGTAATTGAATTAACAAAAAAAAACTTTTGTTGAATTTTAAAATAAGTTATATGATGTACTAATGGTTAGTAACAAAAACTAATTTGTGGATTAATACTGCATTTAAAACACTTGGCGAGTGTTTTTTTTTTCAAACCAGTTATTTGATTAACCAAAAACACCTTGTATATTTTTATATTTTAAAGGTTAGGTTAAAATAAAGGTTTTTATTTTTATTTATAGATAGCATGTGAGAAGAAATTTCAGATAGACCAACATGTGAGAACTGCTTCACACATTGCAAAAAATGGAAATATAGGAGGAAAACATCAAACTTCAATGGCTAAATGTTTCCAATCTACTTCAAAAAAATTAGATGAGCAAGAAACTTTTAATGAAGACTTGTGTCGCGCATTAGTGTCTGCAAACATACCGCTTTCAAAATTAGCAAATGTAAATTTTAGTTCGTTTCTAAAAAAATATTGCAAACTTAATGTTCCAAGTGATCGGTCTCTAAGAAGAAATAATGTGAACGGGCTATACTCGTCGGTGTTAATTAATATTAAGGAAGAAATTGCAGATAATTATTTTTACATATCTGTAGACGAAACCACTGATTCCTCAGGAAAGTATATTGCTCATTTATTGATTGGTGTTCTTAAAGAAGATACCTTACCAAAATCTCATCTTATTTCATGCCAGCAACTTGAGAAAACAAATGCTTTAACAATTTCGCGTTTTATACAAGAAACATTAGCAACTTTTTTTCTTCCGACAACTATTCCTTCTAATAAATTACTGCTTATTTAATACATGTTACTTGTGTAGCGCATGGATTAAACAGAGTTGCAAAGGAAATACGAAAAAAGTTTCCTCTTGTAAATACCATGATATCCAGTGTCAAAAAGTATTTCTTAAATCTCCTATAAGAATTCAACTTCATAAAGAAATGCTACCTAACATTCCTCTTCCACCACAACCTATTTTAACGCGATGGGGAACATGGTTAGAAGCAGCTAATTTTTATGCAGATCATTTTGTTAAAATAAAGAACATAATTGATACGTTAACAGATGAAAGTTCCCAATCTCTTTTGGATTCTAAACAAACTTTTCAGAGTAACTTGCTTCAACAAGAACTTTCATTTATAAAATCAAATTTTAGTTTTGTTCAAAAAAGGACAGGAAGTTTTGGAAAAGATATTTTAAAAAAATTTGAAGCTACTATGGAAAAAAATAAAGGTTACCATATTCTTTCTGAAGTAGTCAGTGTTCTAGCTGGAAATATTTCGGAAACAATTAATTTAGAACCAAATGTTTTGTTTAGTTTGAAAAATGCTCCCGTTACATCAGTTGATGTTGAACGAAGTTTTTCCATATATAAATATATGTACTATAGACAGAAGCCACAAGTTTTTGTTAGAAAATTTTGAACACCACTTGGTCATGTATTGTTACCATAATTCTAAATAAGTTTATTCATACTTAAAAATGATGTAGTTACTTAAAATAAATGTAAATCTTAATGAATAGTAGGAAATATTTAGTTATGTACACTTTTTTTTTAAATAAAATTGTTACTATTTTACGATTTTTTTATTTATTTGTATGCATATTTTGTAAAATATTTGCATATTTTCGGGTAAACACGTGCATATTTATGCGCATATTTTCTACATTTTTATTTGCATATTTGCCGAAGTCTAGTAATGACAAATATTTTCTGTATAATGAAATGATATTTTCTCCAATAACCACAAAGGTTCTTTTCATGTTCGTTTTAGGATTAGGAATTTTAATTACTAACATGGTTCTCTTATCTCCTATATCATCCAATCTCATTTTTTAAAGATCCTCACGACGACAAGCGCCTGCCAAACCAATTATTAACGCAACCTAAAATTTACAAAAAAAAATAATAAAAAAAAGAGAAATTAGATTTAATTATACAACCTTTGCCATTACGTAGATCTTATCTTCTAAAATTGATCTATTTCTTTTTTATTCAATACTTTAAATTTTTTTGGTTTGTAGCCTATGGATTTTCTTTTAAAGAAAACAATAACTTTTGGATAGCGGCTTACATCTATATTATTTTTAATGTTAAGTGTGGATGTAAACATCGAATAATTGCTCCAAAAGCTTGATGGCTTCAAGATATTAGATTTTTTCATGAGATATGCAAGAATGACTTTTTCATTTATAGTAGGTACATTTTTATCATTGCTCCATTTTTGAAATAGATCGTAGACCAATTCATACCATTTTCTTGACTTTACCGGCAATAATTCATAAATAGCGGCTTTAGCAGTTTCCCTAATCTCATCTGGAATCTTTTCGCCTTCACTTTTACTGTTGATTTTTGTTTATTGGAATTAACAAACGAAAAACTGAGCGAAAACACACGAATCTTAAATGACAAGCGTTGTCATAATAAAATTCAAAATTGATGTTATTGTCAAAGCCGTTACCTAGCTACCCTAAATTGTCCCTAAAGTGAAAAAATTAGTCCCTAAAGTGGCTACTTTCGGTACGAGTTATGTTAAATTGTATTTTCGATTAAATAAATCATACTGAGAGTCTTATTTTCGGGACGGCTGCGAAAAAAAGTGATTTTCTTTGTTTTTTTTTAATAAACAAATTTTATTAAAAAAAATGTTTTACCTCTTCTAGTTTGCGATACAGAGTCTTATAAACAATAAAATTGTTTATAAAAATTGTTTGACTACTTGGATCGACATGCAATCTTGAAACTGTTTATCAGCCGCCAAAAATACATTAAAATAACTTGGGTGGACCCATCAGAACTGAAAAAGCCACGGTGACCTAGCTTGTCCCTAGACTAGAAAGTTATTAATAGATTTATTGATTAAATAAATTAAAGTGAAAGATTTACAAGTGTTGTAAAATTAATTGAAAAATATGATTTCTAAAAGTAAAATAATAATATGTCAATATTAGGACAACTCACTTAATCAAAGATAACTTATGAAATTTACAGTTTTATTTAGTAACTTAAATTTATAGATCTAGTGTATTAGTGCCTTGAATTAACGCTTAATGTATTTTTAATGTAATAAGATTAATAATAAATAAAATAATATCAAATACAGTCATATGAACAAAAAATTTTATTTTCTACATTCTTAAAAGACGAGGGTCGACATTTACTCAACCGTAACAGATATGTGAAAAAACAAAACATTCTTACGACAAAGAACTGATAGCATCTCGCAATAATATGCGAAAAAAGAAGGAGCTCTTGCGCAAATACAGAAAAACGCATCGCTTAAGAATAACTATAAAAGTTGGGGACGCCGTATTTTGGAATCGTAGAATTATCATCGAGTGTTTAAACACAATCATCGTTATTTTTAAAATTTTCGAATATTTTACTTATTTCAAAATGTTCAAATTGTTGTTAGTTTGTGTTATCGCGTCAATGGCTTCAGCTAGACCTGGTGGTTTAGGATATGGTGGCTACAGTGGTCTTGGCCATTACGGAGTCCTGCCAGCAGCTACTAGTTACAGGTACGTTTTTTTAACTTATTCAATAATAAAATAACTTATTACTTAAAAATTTTAATTAGGTTTAAAATAATATTTTTTAATTTACTTTTCATATTTTGTTTTATCAATTTAATAGAAATTTCGATTTTGCTTTACAATATTCTGCCCATAACATTTAATTTGATATTTTTTTTTACAGTGAAAATTCCCTTTTCTAGACCAGTTTAAAAAATCTTCAACTTCTGAATATAAAAGTCATATTGTTTTAAATTTAATATATTACAAAAAAAAAACATTCCCATATGTCTTCTTTTAAATTTTATATTATTTATTTAAATTTATAGTTTATCAATTTGAAATATTTTTCAGTATTTGGGCATATTTATATGTACCTGTAAGATGAAAGGCATTCAACCAACTATGAAATCTTTTTGATTTCGTTTACTTTTTCTTGATACATTTCTTTTAAACTATCAGAATTTTATAGTAACTTATATATACAACTTTTTTAAATACAGTATCATACAATAAAAAATATCTTCCTTGTTTATATGATCCGCATTACTTTGTTTTGAAATCAGTCAACGCATAATAGTAAATGTACAAAAGTTTCATGATATTTTTTACAAATAAATTTTCAACTATTGCCAAATACTTTCTTTTACTTCTTTCTTTACCATGTCCATTCCTAAATGTTGGTTATATTCGCTATTATAATTTTATTCACTACAGCTCTGAAGACAGACGAAGGAGACTTAATAAACTACTTACGTAGGTTACGAAGCAATGATGTTCTTTTTCGACCGGGACCCCTCTTTCTACATATGTTGTCCTAAATAATAAGATAAATTCCTCCGTTTTTGGTGTCACATGATGTGATCAACATACTCAAATTTTCACTACTTTCTTGTTTTTTTTTACGTTGTTTATTTGGAAAAACATTACTCTGGCATTTTTAATGCGTATTTTTATCTCTTATATCCCAATTGTCATTTTTATTTAAAACTAGATAAATAATGCTCTAAGTTTGTTCTATTTCAGTACTATATGGTATAATTATGTAATCATCAACCGATGTTTTGCTGACTACCATACATTTAGTTGTTAAAGTATTAAGTTGTATTCTTCGGATTCTCCAGCAAAACTATCAATTAATAGCTGTAGTTCATCCACACAACTCGAAAGCAACACAGTATCATCCACATCTCTCAACCCTGGCAAGTAATATAGAGAATATGCTCGGAGTGCAGATTAAAAATCAGTGGTTACAAAATGCATGCCTGCCCAATTTCACAGAGAATTTTAGTTAACTCAAAAGTATCTAGGCCAATTCTGACATTTGTTTGCTGGTGATTTTTGATCCGACTTGTCCAAGAATTTGCATTACTTTTCCATGTCTAACTTTATCGAATGCTTTCTCAAAGTCTATAAAGCATATTTAAACAGGATGTTTGACAATTCTGTACCTCTAAACCAACACTTGCACGCTAAATAGTGCTTCTCTCGTTCCAAGTTTATTACAGAATTTAAATTGCGTGCCAATAATCTCCCTTTCTATTGTTTTCTAATTCTAACCTAAATTCTGGAGCGAATTATCTGAAGAAATATTTTTAAAACTTGGCTCATAAGACTGATTGTCCTATATTTGAAGCAATTTTCCTTTTCTCTTTCTCTTTCATATTTTTCTCGTTTTTTCCAAGTATTTTAAGTATTTCTGTTGATATTTTATCTTGTTATGTAGCTTTTCTGTGTTTGGCTATTTTTATTCATCCATTGGTATCTTGGGACCTGTTATGCAATTTTGTATTTCTTTTACTTGCCAGTTATAGCTAAATAGTTCTTAAATGTACCATTTTCATCTTTTCCATCTTTTATTCTAAGGTTGTACGACCTTTTATTTCGTATAGCAGCAGCCTATTTTAACTTCTTGTATAAAATAAATACATCGTGCTTCTTTTGCAGATCTTCAATTTCTATTTTTAAAAAAACCTAAAACATATTTTACGACGCCGTTGGCTTTGCAAAACTCCACGGTCTCCAAGGATATATGCGACTCATGGTTGTCCATTACAAGCAAAACCCGATTTTCTGGAGAACATCTAACATTTTTTACAAAGTGTTTCAAAACTTGAATAAAGTTTTCACGTGTCATCCAACCGCTGGAATACGCTAAACCTAAAGATCTGTCATCAAAAACTGACTTCATCATTCTGGCAGCATCAAATCTTTGAACATCTAAACATTGAATCTGGAACATTCCCATTTGCACAAATAATACCAACATAAGTCACGAGTTTCCCTCTTTCCCTGGATGTTACTTTTCCTATTTGATGTTGAACTTTTAAACATTTTGAACACGCTGGACAGTAGTCACGCTCGTCTGAAAAATTGAGTATTTAATATCATGAGAACAATTTTATGTGCCTGTCTACTTCGTCTACGTAATAAATTTGAGCCGGTATAAAGGAATAGCGAGTAAGCACACCTTCCAATTTATTTTGGAATATCCCCACATTTGTTCTGTTAAAACTAGTCATTCGTGCTCAGCTAGTTGTTTCTGGTTTTCTTACTGATAGCCGTGGGTGTAGTCGCATGAAATCTGTAAACCAACACTCTGACCAACATTGACGAACATTTAAGCAAATAATTTCCTAATTGAGTTTTCATCTCATTTGTGAAAATGTGTCATTTATGAAAATCTGGATTAAAGTTCATTTGTTCCATTCCAATTAATATTGCGCCCTTGACGTAAGCGGCTTTTGGTCACCTCATAGTGCTTATCGCTCGCCCGGATACCCAAGCTATTTTTTATTACAGCCCCGACGGCTTGTTTCATAATTACGTGGTCAGAATCTCTATTAGTTTTTTTGTTGTAAATGTTTGGCATAAAAAGATATATTTATTCTTTCATATGGGGCTATGGACATCTGTTCATTGTCTACTCTATATACATAAGAAATATTTTTTCGCTACAGAATGAAACGTCCTCAGAAATAAACGATTATTGCGATATAACCTCAAACTATATAATGTTTATCAAACTTTCGCCAAAATACAAGATTATAAATACTTTTCATATTGGACGCATAGCTGACATAATATAACATCCAAAAATTACATAGTACTTACCAAAAACACAATATTTTAATATTTTTAACAAAATGTTTTTAGTAGAGTTCTCACTCGATACAAACGAACCTTATTTACAACTATTATTTTATCAGTTCAGTGATGTCGCTAATCATATTTTTCCTGAAAAATTTAAACGTGTCAATTCTCTCCTTGTGTCCAAAATCTCCCGGGCCTCCTCTATAATAATATACGCTGAATATAAGTGTATTCGTTAGAATGCTCTGTTGTCATTTTCTGTTCGTGCTAGTATTTTAATCTTATTATCAAAATCGGTTGATATAAACCAATTGATCCCAGTAGTCAAAACGTTAAAACTTGGGTACAAACTCCAAAGATTTGTATCCAAATATGCTATTCTGGCGGTTTATATTGCATGTAACGATCATTAAATTTGTTTTTCCTGACATGTATCTTTAATCCATGTCTCTCACATTTCTGGAAAGTTTTTACAATACAATGTGTTATATACTCATCTCTTTTTAACAAGTGTACTAAAATTTTATTAAATAAAAACTAAAAATTTATTGTTAACTAGATATTTGAAGCTAATTTTTACTATGTCATTGTTTGGTGCCATTATAAAAATATTGTAGTTCTAGGGTTGATGTTCACCATACACCTGTAGTCGCAAAAACCTACGTTGCACCACTGGTCAGCTACAGTGCTCCCTTAGTAACCTCCTATGGCTTGGGTCACGGATACGGACATGGTTTAGGATATGGTTATGGTATAGGACACGGTTATGGTCTAGGTCACGGCTACGCAGGATTGGGCCATGGTTACTCTTTAGGAGGGTATGGACATGGATGGTAAATGCTCCAAAACGAATTAAACATTTTCATTAATTCTGCTCATGTGTTCATTTGTAAATTGTATAAAACATTAAAATAAATTATTTTATATTTGTACATATCTGCTGTAGTTTATTTTCGTACCTATCTCATTGAAAATCAACAAAGAAGATTGAATAATTAATATTAATTAAGAGTAATATTTTTTTATAGCTTTCGTGATACAAAAATCTAAAAATAAAAGTTTTAAAAAAAGAAAATTAAGGACAAGATTGCCAATCAGAGGTGATCCATCAGCAAATGCGGCTTCAATTGAGCAGCAAGAGAACTGAAAGGGATTATTATTTAAAAATGAGTAGACATAATATCACCTACAACATTTAAATTCTTTTAATGACAGTGAGTAGGTATTAAAAAAATCAAAAAAAAATACAAAAGTGTAAAAATATAAGTTTTGCAAAAAAAATTAAAAAATATTGCTATTTACTGGGGGCTATAAGATGCAAGATAATTGACAGCAATAATTGTTTAAACATTTGTTGACCCAATATTACTTGCAAAACTTGGTACCTTAAAACTACAGTGAATGTTGATTGCGAAAGCAACAAAAATAACAAAAACGCGGAATACGCAAAAAAAGCAGTGGATAATGCATAATGATAAGTGTACTGTTTAGAAGAATACTTTATCAATATTTACAGTACCTAAGTATTGGAAACACCTAGAATGAAAAGAAAGCACGTGTATTACTACAAAGTTCTGTTCAAATGAGCTTACCTTCCAAAAAATACATTGTCTTCACGTCCATCATTGCTAACAGTAAAAACCCAGTAAAACCTCATAACCTAATCATATATTTAAGGTGTATTTCCAAATATACCACCAAAATTCATAAACTATTAACATTGAGATAATGTCTACTAAATTTTAATAGTTCCCAGCACTTTTGCTTTATATATTTAAAAATAATAATAATTAATAAAACAGGTAGCACACAAAATAATAAAAAAAATAAGTATTAACTTCGAAATAAATCGTGGTTTTTTTGGCGACATTCTTGGATATTAAAGAGTTTAACAAAGTGTGGCACAAGGAACGCCTTTCCAAAATACATAAACTTCATCTCCATAAATACTATCTGATACTTAAACCGTAAAAATAATTAGAAAAAACTTTATCGAACAAAAAAATATATCAAAGTTCTGAAACTACTTTCTTGTGTCTTGTCTAAGTTAAATATTATGATTTTATGGAATTAAACCATAATTATTGGTTGTGATTGTGATGAAAATCATATTTAAACTAAAGTTTTTTATTATTGGTGATATGTTATTCAGAATTTGTATAAAAACCTTTTTTGATTTCCGACTTCCTGAGTGGAAATCGAAACGTCAAACATAAGTTATTTAAAAATGTGATTATCATCACGATCACCACCAATAATTGTGGCTAAATTCCATAAAATGTAATATTTAAATATATATATATATATATATATATATATATATATATATATAATTAAAAAAATATATAAGTTCACTCTATGAAGACTGGTGATTATTGGCAGCTTGTTAGATTTTACCCTGTATTTTTTGTTTGTAAGGACATACCAGCGCAGCTATGTTCTACGATGTTTAAAATATTCATTTCTAATGAAATTTCTCATAATGAAATGGAAAACAAACGGCAACAACAACAAAAAAGCAAAAAATAGCATTTTATTAATGTGTTTTTTACTGCTAAAAAAGGCCATTTTCCTTCTATAGTAGAAAATAATGACCAATTAACTTCAACCAATGATATCAAATATAATCGAGCAATCAAAAACATGTTATTAAGAAGACTTCTGAATTGGTCATTTAAATAACGCAACTAGAGAATTTATGTAGATATACTATAATAAATTTCTCCTAATAGCACGAGAATTGTGATTTGACATTATCAAAATAGAGGTTATTTGTATACCTATTAAATACCTCGTAAAAATTAAAACATTTCAAACTACATTCAACACTTCAAATAGCAAAAATTATCAAATATTGTAATTAGTGACCAAATAGTATGCAAACCACATCAGGAATTCTAAAATTTCATAGATCTTAAGTATCACATTCTATAAAAACTGAGAATCTACACAATATTAATATTATAATGATAGCAAAATGGGAAATGATCAACAAAGTTTGTTGTGTTTGTTGTGTGAAAAAAACAAAGTGTTTTTTTGTGTTTTGACTTATTAAACATTTTCAACAATTTTTGTAGTTATATGTAAAGTTAAAACTTAGATATAAATAGCAGTATTAGATCAATTTAGAGATATAAAAATTGTATTAAAATTATAGAATTTCAATTAAGAACTTCAATTAACATAAAGAAAAATCTTAATTTTTTTTATCCGGAATCTAAAAATAACTATATCTGTATAGGTCACAATAAACTAATTGTGCATCCTGCCAGTGGGCTGTCGTCCTTAGTTGATTGTCCATCCTGCCATTTCTAGGATGGTGGACAAGTCATTAAGGGACATCTCCCTTATGTGAGCAGGTGTGGACCACGACTCGCCGAACGCGTATTCACGTCTTAAGGATAACTTTGGACATTCACATAGGAATGCTCTACAGTTTCGTAATTCGTTGCATTTTGCATAGATGTGTGTCTACTAGCCCCAGTGTATGAAGGTGTTTGCTTGGTTGACAATGACCAGTTAAAAAACCAACTGTCAAGAGTGGGTTTTTCCTGGTCATTCCCTATTTTGACGCTGACTTTTCAAGGTTACTTAATGTTACCCTGGCAAGTCTACATCCTTGTCCTTCTTCCCATCTTTTAATAATTTGCGTATGGGAGTTACATTTCACAATTGCCGTGATTGTTGTAGTTGATCAACCAAAAATATCCCCGGGTCCTAAGATTCTCAGGCCTGTCGCCTTCCTAGGCAACTGGTCAGCAATGCAGTTGCCTTTATTCCTATTGTGTCCTTTAACCCACCTCAGGATGATAATATTACTATCCTAATCGTAAGTGATACTCCATTACTAACTTTGATGTGATACGGGGTCTATTCAAGGTTAGTAGCGCTTGTCTGCTATCTGCGCAGATTATTATAGTTTTCTCGGCTACACCTTTTTGGGTGATCTCGTTTGCGGCTATGAAGATATCAGTTTGTTCTGTCTGAACTACACTGGCATTTTTGCCATACCCCACTTTATTCTTAAGTTCAATGATCTGCAGTATATTAGGAGTATATCTGGAGTATATTCTTGTAGCAAGGGTAGCGCATCCAGCTATAGATTTCGCGCAGTTTGAGGTTAGCTGTAACCTTTTCCAGTTATGCAAGCGCCCCATCGTCATCACAGACTGCTCTGATGATCTCACCTGAGTTAGTCCACGATTTGAACGTGGGCCCTTTTACCTGACTACTGGAAGTGAACAAGATTGCTCTGTCAAATCCCTAATCAGACTGCGTTTGATAAGGTTTACCTGGTCGGCAGTGATCCTTCCGTACGGGTCTACCTTATCTATAATAGCGACTTTAAGGCGGTTTCCGCAAAGCTTTGGAACAGGCCTTTCTACCACTGCGTGATTTCTTATACTTCTGTGGTATGCCTCCATGGAGGTACTTGGTCGCTTCACATCGAGGGCCGTCGGCCTATGTCCTCTTTTGGAGATGGAACCGTTGACAGCTTTTGATGTGGGTACCGTCACCTGAGTGCTTTTTCCATTAGGTCAACATTAGTTTTTGGTTTTTTTCTTGTACGTTCTTGTACGTTTCTTGTTGTTCCTACGAGTAGCTATGGCATGGTTTTATACGATAAGGTTTGCTTAATTTCCCAGGGGGATCGTTTACGCCCACATATAACCCTGTGGCCATATAGCCATCGGCACAATTACCTCACACCTTAGCTTGGGTAGGCAGCTTCTTGGTCACTTAAGCAGTTCATCCATTTCTAATATCTTGACTATCTAAGAGAGATTTCTAGATATTCCAGAGTTCTAAGTGGTAACAGGAACTGCTCTAGCGTGATCGTTTTGCATCTTTCCATACTTCCCATTCACCAGGCCTAGTTCATTTATAAGGAGAACCTTCATTTAATGAGAGAGCTCAATATAACAAAGATCCCATTCATTCACACACACATACTTGGTCCGCTTCCTGCGCCAGACTACAGCCATATCTAAATAATCAGCTTAAGTCCTCCAACATATGCCATGTAAATTTGGAAACAGGAGTATTTACGCATGCCTAGCATATTCCATTGGCTTTATAGAACTAATTCTAAGCTTTTTTAAACTTTTATTCATTTCAAACAAATCGTAACTGAACAGCGAAGTGCTCACTTCGAACTGTTTATAATTTGGGAAATAATTCCGTTTCAGATTTTTCTTTATTTCCAAAAAATAATATCTAAACAGCAAAGTGCTGAATTACTCTACGTCTGACTTGCCAAATAATTCTAAAATTAAAAGACTAAAACGTCTAGACGAAGTCTAGACGTTTGATGATTGTAATAGTTGAGAAAATAAAACACATAGTTTCGTTGAAATGGGCTTCTCAGGCAAAATAAGTATCCAGTTAAGATTAAGACCTAGCCTATCGTTTGGCCGAAAGAAATACTGCTTTTATGGATGTAATATTTGAATGTACGCAGTGAGTGTTCCGTCGAAGGGCCAGATTTCACTTATTGATATTATCATCTTTAATATTAAAAAGAAATAATACTCAAGAGTTGGCTACATACCATATAGTTAAAAAACTCTGACATAGAAGTAAACCACTTTTATGTTGTAATTGGAATATTTATTTAAAAATTAAATTTAAAAATCCAAAACGATCAAGTTTAGAACGGAAACCTCCGCAATTAATCCGAACACGCTCTGAACTTAATCCTTTTGAATTTTTCTTTGTATAATAATAATACTCTTTGTTTTAATTGGTCAGAGTGACAATCTTTGTTAATTGCTAATTGGTCCCATCTTGCAATACGAATACTTATTTCCCACAAGTCATGGTAGCTACAAGAAGTG